GGATCTGGAAAGTATTCCTTCACTTACGCCTTAGTTCGACCGGATGGCACCTGGTCATTTGTGAAAAAACTGTCTGACATTGTAGACGTGGAAAGAGTACAAGAAAGAAAAAGCAACGTGGAGAAGATGGAGATCACAGCCGCTTTACAACACATAAAATCTGTCATCAAGCCTGATCAGGCACTAATCCATTTTCCTTGCCTGAAAGGAATAACAACTTACAGGTCAGACTGGTAACTTTTATGCTATTCATAATAACGACGATAAAATTTTTTATTACTGTGGCAAAACTTTATTACCGAGAAATAAACATGGCGGAGAGCGATTGGATAAGCAGTGGATAAGTTATCAATAGTAGCTATTGATCTCACCGTTGCGAATCGTAGTTTACGCTTAAGTTGTAATTGAAGAAGTGAGGAAGGATGAATACCGTAAATTCTTGCAACGCCACAAAATAAAAGAAATGTCTCTCATCTGCTTTTTATCTTTTTATAAGTTCATCACGTATTATAAAATTTGGTTTACTAGTTAGTGTTACTTGTGTTTTCCGTCGGCTACAGCTTCATTAACCAAAGGTCTAGAATTAAGCTGTTCAAAGGAGCATAAATGGCTAAAGAAAAAAACCACTGGAGCTATGAAAATGAGGATATTCCAAATTGTGAAATTATAGCGATAAGCTCCCTTCCCCCACCCCACGAAAATCTCACACAGCAAAATCTCAGATTCTCTGGAGGAGGCCTAAATTTCAGTAAAAAGGTAATAGTCCCTATGTCACACTTCTTTAAGTAACCCAGATTATGTATGGTGTAAACTTGACAAATCCTTTTTCAAAAAGATAAAGATGTTGTATTATGGTTCTTGTTGCATTTCACCAAAAGAATCCCTTTATTACTGGTGTAGAAAATGATTTTGTCACTCTCGTCCCTTGTAATTTTTGTACCAGGAAGTAGCCTTCCTTTGACAAAAATTGTCCTGTCACAAAAGAATCTTGACCAACATTTAAATGACACTGTGTTCTTTTTGTTGAAGGGCTCTTTTCGAAGCGCTGGATATTCCTCTTATAGGCGGATCAGCAGAGTCGCGTTACCTTAGCATGGATAAACTTGAGACACGGGGTGTTTTGCTGGCCAACAACAATGTTTCTTGTGTCCAGGGATTGATTCTGAACAGAGGTAATATTTGCTGTGCCGGGGAAATATGATATATATGGGTTTACTAAGCTGCTAAGCTTAGTCTCAAAACTTCATGTTCAAATGGGTATGCTGTGAGCAAGCTCTCTTGAGTTGGGTCGACAGGGATATCACTTTCAAAGTTGCCTCTTCTCTTTTGAGTCGAGAGAGCTAGTGTTCACCGGCTAGTTTATGGCAACACAAGAAACTCGAACCAGTCGGGCGCCTTTTATACCTAAAGACACCTTTCCAGCAATTACAACTGTACCGTAAGACAACTGTGTCTACGACGAGTCCACAAAATATCTTGAAAGTATCTTGAAAATGAAAGCTTCATACTGGAGTGTCCTTATTATCTTGTGAGCGTCGTAGCGACAAGATTTTCTGTCGCAACCTTACATTGAAGCGCATCACATGCAGCTGGTTCATCATACTGAATTAAGGCATAAAAGCGAATGCGACAATGCCGTAATGTAGCCTGCGAAAACAGCCGTTTCTCCTCGCTCTTCGCCGCTGAGGACGTTTCGCGGGGAATTTCGCAGGCTAGCCGTAATGTCGTATGGGATGTCATCAATCACAAAGTAAAAAATAATTACCCCTAGTATGCCTCTACTGTGTAGTATGGATTCCGGTTGGCCTTAATTTTTTGCCTCAGTTTACCATTGCGCAGTCAAGCGGCGGTGAACGAACTAGTGCTGGATTGTAGTGAGACTCGTTCTACATACTGCTTGGATCAGCAAGGTCTCTCTCCTCTCTAAGGATTTACGGTTGAAAGACTTATCCTTCTGCGAAACCCCTGATCGTTTGTTCTCTCATTAGCTGCTTATGGCGTGAAAGGTGATCCGAGTGGTTCTGTGGAGTTTGAAGTTTGCTCTCACCTTTAATCTTATAAAACTGTAGGAGTTCCTTGTTCCGTTAGACTGCAAAACAGTCCGTATTTTTGCGTGTTCAAGTAAGCGCGAGCAGTCAAACAAAAGGTCTGGAACAAGGCTGAAAACGGAGAGTGAGACTGAGGAGAGACGCTAAAAATACTCTCTTTAGCGTCTCTCCCCAGTCTCGCCTCACACTCCTTACGGGCGTGAGAGGCTGGCGCGCTTCGCGCGCGTAAGACTCTTACGCTATGTTTTACCGATTTCTTTACCGATTTTGAAAAAAAAAAACGACTGTTTTGCAGTTTATTGTTCCATTTACAAGGGGGCAGATAAACAATTTGGCTAAAAGTAATGAGAGTGTTCGTTTATGTTTTTGCTCTTCATAGGAGACCCCATACCAACTGAGAATATCAAATACCCGTGTGTTGTCAAGGCAAGCAAAGGAGAAGATTCCAAATCAGTGCGACTGGTAAAGGACAAACAGTCTTTAGATGCAGCTATTAAGCATGCGCTGACTTATTCGAATCAAGTAATCATTGAAAGGTACAGGTTGTCAAGGTTATATAGTTCAAAAACGTAAAACGTTGAAGAGGATTTTGCTGAGGTCATTCAGTGGCTCAGCCTTATTACTGCCTAAGTTTCGATTTTTAATATTAAAATTTTTCGTTCGCGCAAAGAACATTGGATTCAGTATCAGAGAGAATGCCCGATATGATAAATATTTGCGGAAAAAAAAATTAATCCAAGTCGAATACAGTCAACATTAAAAAAGGGCTACCTTTCAAAGGAAGGTTGATGTGCGCAAAGCACCGTACGATATCACCCGTTTCATTGGTTAACCTGGTGAGGTATCACTGCCAGACACTTACCCCTTAATTAAAGGTTTTTGAAGGGATTGGCCAGAGCTTAGCACGTAACAGGCAAGAAAAGAGGGCACAAATAAAAAAAGGCGGCGTGGATACCAAGGTTTGCCTTGTTATGAGCTATTAAAAGCATGTTTGTGCCGTTTTATTTGTACAGATTCATAGAAGGACGGGAGATTCGGTGCGCTGTAGTCAAATCAGAAAAAACTGGAGATGTACAGGCCTTGTCGTGTATGGAATACAACGTACGTCAAGATGACATTCGTAAAACCGAGGATAAGTTATTCTGCAATGAAAATGGATTACCTATTAGTGAGTATCCCTTTTTTTTTTTCATTCCTTAACAACGTCAAAATCATAAATCTTCCTCGATCACATTCATATAACACTTGTCAAGTTTATTACTGAGTAACCAAATATATGAATAATCAATGGGTAGCATCTGAGTCACACGCAGACCAGTCATCTCGGTAAACCCCAAAATGGGGTTTACAACTGACCATAGGAATTATTGCACAGTAGACAGGGGTGTAGCCGCTTTCGACAAGTAGTAGGCCTCGCTGACATTTCTACACATCCTGAAAATTGCTCGCATGACCAGTACGCACTGACTTCACCAACACTTTGAACTCTTTAAGCTTTTTACCTCACCCCAGGAACGCATACTTTGTTGCAAGCGGTAGAGTGATCAAACCAAAATTTGTAGGCCCCGGCATACATGTACAGGTCTATGTGCTGGCTACGCCCCTAGTATAATTGACATCAACGTATTAGCAATTTCTTTTCTCTAAGCAAGGAAGGCAATAAAAAAAGTTTATATTCACCGTCAGGCTGTCGCTGGTAGTAAACTTATTAAGATGATTTTTCTGTATTTACCCATTTGTCTCTCTATAGGCAAGCCACCAAATGCTAAGACTTGGTTTCTTGACCCTGCAGAGGAAGATGACCTAATAAACCGCATCCAGCAGCAAAGTCGTCGAGTTTTTCAAGAGTTAGACCTACAGGACTTTGGCCTTTTCGACTTCCGGGTAGACCTCGAAGGAAATCCATTTTTTCTGGAATGCAACCTGTTCTGTTCGTTTGGTTCTCAGAGTGTGCTTAATGTAATCGCTAAGAATTCGGGTTTTACCGATGGAAGTTTGTTTGATTTAATGGTTCAGAACGCTTTGTTACGGAAAGAGAAGATTTACTGAGGAGTATATGAATTTATGGTATCTACAAAATACCATTAACATTTTTGGCGCAGTTTCTACATTACTTTGGCTTCGTGCAGTCAAATGTTAAATAGTTGTCAGAATACCGTAAACTGCCACATACAATCCTCCCTCCAGTTATAAGCCCATCTACTAAATGTAGATACATACGGGTTTTAAGCTCCCCCTACTCCGGATAAAAGCCCCCCTCTAGCGATTTTATTGAAATGAATTCGCTTTTTAACGACGTTTTGATGCTTAAAATGCTATTAAATTCAAACGCTTTCTCAAGGTAATTAAGGCATGGGTCCCCAGGTGTTGAGTCAAAAAGTAGGGGGGTGGTGTATCTTTCGATACATTAGCAGTGGCAAGCCGAAAACTTGTCAGACACATAAACGGCTAGTTTTTATCTATTTGGTATCCTCCAATTATGCAAGTGAGGTCACGTGACACGCCACGCCCAAAAAAACCCTTGAACTTAAATGGGCACACTTTTTCTTGTTTCCTTCATTTTCTACTAGTTTCATAATTTTAAGGCCGTTAAGTATGACATTTCTGCGCTTGGCAATGTCAAGAGTTTTCAAAGGAAAGGCATGTTAAAATGATACATTTGTATTGGGAGACTGGGTACTAGTCGAAAAACCTGTTTATTTTCAAAATAGATGAGATATTTGAAAGTTGCCAAGCACAGTTTTGTAGCGGCTTAGGGTAGTAAAGTGAGACAACTCTTGCTAAAAAGTGTGCCCATTTTTTCTTAAAGATATTTTGAAACTTTGAGGAGTTGTAAGGTCACGTTACCTAATTTGCATAATTTGGGTCTGTTTTAAAGCATCAATTTTGGTGTTGTGTAATATTTTTTGGTATTTTCTGCTTCATGATAAACCATTCATATTATAGACCACCCCCCTCATTTTTACAGGAAAATGGCTGTTGACCCATGCCTTAATTTACCTGAGTTATTGAAACGCTGTTTTAAATCCAGTTATAAGCACCCCCCGCCTCCCCCACTTTTAATTGTTATAAGCCCTCCTTAATTATTAATTAATCCCTTGCGCAGTTGTATAACGGAAGTTTGCGGTATTCTCGGCTAGGCATTCGTTTTGATAAAACAAATAACGGAATAATTTCGGTGAGCTACTTGGCTCTTTTAATTAGTACGTAGGTAAAAGAAATTTTCGTTAACAAGTAACGCATGAAAAAAAGTGCCGTGTTTTATACGGAGTTGCCGGTTCCAAACGTTTCGAGCCTAGCCCCTCAACAGTAGAATTACATGTACGTTAGAACAGGTGAAAGGTTTGTATACCGGGTACGCCACGAATTAAAAATTTGATAAAAATCAACAAACCTAAAACTTTGTATCCACTAATGAAGGGCTAAGCCCGAAACATTTGGAAAACAACTCCATATTAAAAACGGCACTTAAGTTCCGACTTTAATTTTTAATGGTCATTTCCTTTACTTCATTCTTGATAAACGATGTTGAGACTGCCTTCCATTCCCTTCCCTTCCCTTCCATTCCCTTCTTTTCCCTTCCCTTCCCTTCTCTTCTCCTCTCTTCCCTCCCCTTCTCTTCCCTTTCTTTCCCTTCCCTTCACTTCCCTTCTCTTCTCCTCTCTTCCCTTCCCCACCTCACACTGTGGATTTCGGATTCCAGAATGACTGGATTCCAGTTTTTGTCAGTGGAACTTGGATTCTGTATTTCAATCGTTAGTGGGATTTCGGATCCCTTGGGCTGTATTCCGGATTCCAAAGCCCAGGATTTCGGATTCCAAAGCCCAGGATTTCGGATTCCTACAGCTGTACTCCGGACTCCAAAGCGCAGGATTCCGGATTCCTACAGCTGTACTCTGGATTCCAAAGCGCAGGATTCCGGATTCCTACAGCTGTACTCTGGATTCCAAAGCGCAGGATTCCGGATTCCTACAGCTGTACTCTGGATTCCAAAGCGCAGGATTCCGGATTCCACAAGCACAAAATTTCCCAGATTCCGGAATCCGGATTCCCTTACATGGGCCGTTACAAGATTTGAGTGGTATGATTTCTGTGATCGTTGCGCTGAAAGCTTGCATATGTTGTGGTTCAATTTTATCCTTGGTTTAGATTTTATTTTCCTTTGTTTCAAATTTACTACCCCAGAACAAAGAAAAAGGATAAAATTGAACCACAACATATACATTCCCCGTATAGTTTCTGGAATGGAGAATATCTTCAATTACTCAACTATTTTATTATCATCGGAAAGCTTTCTTTGTGGGCCTGTAGGAAATAAAATCCCTCCAAACCCAAGTTATGGATTTAGGGCTGAAATCATTGCTGTAAACATGAATCAGAAAGCTGAATGACCAGTAAGAAAGATTTCTTTAAAAGTTAATGAATACTGACCCCTTATTTAAGTTTACTTAATATCAATTACCTCATTGTTCTGGCCCCAATTGTTCAAAAGGTGGACAGCGCTACCCATCGGATAATCTGGTGGATAGCGCAATTAGTGTTCGTAATACTTATCCACTGGATAGCGATTTATCCAGTGGATAGCGCCTTCCAACGTTTGAACAACCGGAGCCTGTTTTACTGTACTGATTCAGCATACAGTATTGATGCAATTAGCTTTATTTTGTCAGTAAATTTCACTAGCGCATGGACATACGTACGCGCAGAATGGCATTATTGACTCTATTCGCGATACCAGCCCTCCTCAACCCGATGATCAACAAGTGGACGTTTCGTCCACCACATTGCTTTTGATATGTTCGCATGAGGTCTGGGTCAAAGTGGCCTATGATTGGTCCACGTCGTTGTTTATGCTTGTGCTTATGTCGATCCCGTTTTCAGTAGTCAAAGCTACGATATAAGCATAAGGATAAGCACAAGATGAACAAACTTGTCCGTTTTCCTTGTGTTTATGCTTATGCTTATGTCGACCCAGTTTTCACATGCTTACATACGTGCCTCTGCTTCTGCTTATGCGCTAGTGAAAACCAGGCTTTATAGAGCGTTTTCACTCACGTTGCCAGCATCTATGCGACTTTTTTGGAACAAAAGAGAGAAAAAGAGTTCAACTCCCACAGGACTGGTTTGGGACACCAGCATGGTCGCCGTTTCATTGTTTTGGAACACCAACATGGCCTCCGTGATGTCATGTGTAAACACTTTATTGAAATGTTTTTTGTGGTATTGTAATTGTGCCTTAATCAATAGAATAAAATGAAATAATAATAGACTTTTAAAAAATAAGCGATGCTTAATATTACATATGAGAATGAGAAAGAAGATTGCGAATATTTTGAGGGTCCTTGACCTTTTCCTCTTTCCCTTTTTATATCTTTTCAAGCCTATCAGTTATGGTAATTATGACGTCTTTCTTCACAAAGAAAGTGCTTTCCAAAAGAAAATAAATGCAAAAAGAAATAACTGTCACATAACTCAAACAGTGAGTCTTTCTTTGTTTTACCTTATGAATATGCGCATACACGTGCTGTGTTACGGTGTTGGGAGCGTGCTGTTACGATAAGCTTAAAAATCCTATCGAGGGTCACAAATGATGAGCTAACCTAAATAAGGGTTAGGCGAGAGAAGATTTTGGGCTTCGCTCTTGCCTTAAGGAAGGCCTTATAGTATGATGAACAGGTCACTTCGGTGAGGTGAACATTATTTTAAAAAAACAATGACCTCTTGTTACACCCTAGTTACCACACAATGACCTACTGCATGTCCTATTAAACGGGTAAAGGATTCGCTTCTTAACCATCTAGAAAATTATGACCTCGCACTACACACACGATCATTGTTCTCATGTGAACCAGTACCGAAAAAAGGCTGAAAAACGCACGCTGGCCATTCAGGTTGAATACATGCACATTACGTAATATAATTAACAATTCAGAATATTCATAAAACACGTATCAAAGCACGCTCACTCTGTTTTCTAGGTTCAGTTACAAGGCGGGGGCTACGAGCTTACAACCGATCAAACTTCAAAACATTGGTATGTCAGGTTTCTGTATGTATGTTGAATTGTTGTTACTTACTGTCACGAATAATAGTGTAGTTTTGTTACGATCTTCGGTCTTATTCATCCTGCAGGCTATTTTAAGGTCTTATTCTACGTTGGTACTTTCACTTGGTAGCGTTCATTTTGCTATAAAAGCTGGTTCGATTCTGGTCGATACCTAAGCCTGATTTCCACATGATCGTTACGATCGCTGCGATCACTGAAATGGAAAATAACCTACCGTTATCGTAGCGGTCACTGAGATAAATTTCAGCGATCGTGGTTATCGCATCGATTCCCGAGGGGGTAATCGATATATCTTTGGGTGGGGAGGTGCCCCGGGGGAGGTGCGGCCCGGCTCCTCTTACCCTGACCCTGTTTCAGACAAAAATCGCTGATTTTCCTACCCTGTTTAAGAGATTTAACCCGAAACCATACCCTGTGTAAGACTGAATAATAAATATCGAAACTCTTTCTCATTTAAGCCACGGGTAATCACAAAACTATTTACAGCTGTTTAAGACATAAATTGATAAAATCGATACCCTGTTTAAGACAAAAATCCCGAAAAACATACCTTGGCTGGCCGCACGTCCCCAGTAAGCCCTTATAAGGGAGTACCCCCCCCCCCCCCCCCCCCCCC